GGGGTCTATGTGTCAGCTATTCTGGTGTGGACTGTCTTGTTGCCCCTCCATCTTCCCGTGGAAGGACTCCTCCAGTACTCGGCGACAGAGCTTCTCAGGCTCCGCTCCCAGCAGTCTGGATCTCCACCGGCAGCTCTGCACCTCCATCCGGACATCGCCCTCCTGCCTCGTCGGAGGTACATCCACCGCAGGTCTCGGCGGGGATTCCACTACAGCGGTTCCAAGGGGATTGCCTCCTTTTGGTCCTCCACTCACCGCCCACCCAGAAACACCGGCCGGTCTGTGGACGACAGTGTGTTAGCCGGCCTGGCTAGGTCGGCTAGCGCTCCCCACAACAACAACACCGGCGTCAGCTTTGGTCTGCTGAACATCTGATCCCTCACCGGCAAAGGGCATCTTATCCAGGATCTCCTTAACGACTGTAAGCTTGATTTTCTTTGCTTAAACGAGACGTGGCAAGTTCCTGGTGACTATTCTCAGTTGAATGACTCTACTCCGGCGGGGTTTGTTTATATCTGCAAACCTCATGGCTCGGGTCGCGGGGGAGGTCTCGCGATACTCTATCGCGAGAAGTGGAAAGTCCTTCCTGTTTCTGTGCCTCCCCTCTCCTCACTGGAATGCCTTGTCTGTCAGATCCCCAGACCCACCCCCACAATCATTGCCACAGTTTACCGTCCCCCCAAGCCTCACAGTGACTTTTTAAATGAATTCTCCACCCTCCTTACCCACCTCTCCACTCTCTCACCCAATATAATTCTGCTAGGAGATTTCAATATCCACATGGACAATACTGCTCTTCCCCTCACCACCGCTGAACTGGCCATCGGGCATACTGGCCATTTGCCCGGTGGGCCGATGGCGATTTTGGGCCGGGCCTTTTTTTATTTTTTTTACACTAATGGTAGTGGTATTAGTCATAATACCTATTGGTACACAAAACTGGTAGATCGGCCCATTAGTCATGATTGATTCTGGGCTGGACCAATTACAGCCGAGGGCCGATGCCCCCCTCCCTCTTGGGCCTCGGCTGCAAATCAATCAATCATACAGAGAGAGAGGAGATGACAAAATGGAGAGCAGCAAAAAACGCAAAGGAGGCGCAAAAAAAATAAGGCAGAAAAAGAGATAAGCACTTCAGGCAGATGCTGCCAAATGTGCTAAAATAACACACGTTTGCTGGCTATGGGGGAGGTTCTTCAGCAGCAGCATCATTGGCTGCACCCGCAGCCGCAGGTAACGTTAATGATGGTGGAGATGGCTGTCAGGTGGATGAGGTGAAGGGGAGGCAGGAGGAGGAGAGACCCGTGGCCGCCGCATATGACGATGGCACAGGCGATGCGAGTGGAGGGGGATTTGAACTTCAGTTAAGAAGTGATGAACTGTAGTCTACCTGGGTCAGATATGAATTAAGTTTGGTTGATAGTTTATTTTCGTTGTGCTTGCTAACTCTTAACACAGCATAGTTATGAGTAGGCCACGTTAGCTCAGTTAATAGCACTCGCTTGATTTTAACAATTTAGCTGGCTGTTGAACAGCATGACAGGTTTTCTCTACTGCTGGGCTGTTTCTATGATGTTATACTAACGTTAGTGATAGTGATCTTAGTGCTTCAGCAATTTTATTTTATTCATTTAGTTAGTTAAGTATAGTCTTTATTAGTTAGGTAGCTAAATATTTCAATGTCTATTAATTGATATAAGTGCACTATGCAGTAATTCTTTACTCTTTAAAGCTCAACAAAGCAAAAATGTTCATGTAAAACCAAATGATGAAGCTAGTATTCATCATAAACCCACTGCACTTGCAGATATAATTTAGATTGAATCAAATTAGGATTTGCCAGGAGATGTGATGCTGCTCATTAACATAAAAGTGGCTTGGAGTTAAAAGTAACTACTTAAATGTATTTGTCTTTTATACATAAATATCCTCTTTATTCTAGTGGGCATGTTTCCGTTCAATTTAAAATATTTTTCGGTAAAATGTTCTTGTGGGCCTTCTTGTTCTTGGGAAAAATGCGGGCCTTGAGGTTGTAACTATGATATGGCATGAGTATGGTATGGGGCCACCCTACATGTACTTGAAAACAGTACAGATTTAATACAGATAAATAGATTGCATTTGTTACATTATTTTTTTCACCTGGTTTATGTTTGATTTTATTAAACAATAATTTGTCCATTAGCTATATTACTGGTTATTGTAATGCAGCTTTTTGTTACCTTGTTATCAGGGAACTCCTCAAAACCTCAACAAATTGTGTCAGTCCTCATATATTACACCAGATTGATCCACCATCCCCAGTGGAGCAGTGTGTGAGAGAGAGAGAGAGACGAGACGGAAGAGCAGGAGAGAGAAACAGAAGAGAAGGAGAGAGAGACGTCAGAGCAGGAGAGAGAGACGGAAGAGCAGGAGAGAGAGACGGAAGAGCAGGAGAGAGAGAGCCAGGGCATAGACTACTTTGCTCGCCCTGAGCTCGCCATATTACAGGCATTCCTAGATCACCACCCACAGCAGAGCACCAGCAGTGCAGTTGTGATGAGGGTGTTCACCTGTAAAGATGGCACTAGCAGGAAGTGGCTCACTTATTGCAAAGAACGGCATTTATTGTTCTGCTTTGTGTGTCTGGCATTTGCAAGGAGGACTGATACCAGCGCATTTATTACAGGCATGAGTGATTGGCGACATGTACATCTGCGCACAGAGGAACATGAAAAGAGCACTGCACACCAGACCTGTGCCGAAGCTTTTTTCTTAAGGTGCTCAAAAAGCAACATCAGCAGCTTTTTCGCTGGCAGTCAGATGTCAGCTCATAGGGAACAAGTGAAAAAGAGATGCAAAGTTTTGGAGCGAGTAGTGGATGTGGTCAAAGTGCTTGGGAAGAGGGGGCTGAGCTATAGGCAGGTGGAGAATGAGGCCGCATACACTTTAGATGATAACACCATAGTTCATGGTAACTTTTTGGAACTGATTGTGTTATTAGGCAAATATGATATCTGCCTTAGAGAGCATTTGGATGGCTGTGTCGAAAAAAGCAGGAAGTTGCATCAGTCCAGTGGATCAAGAGGTAGAGGGTCTCTCATCACCCTACTCTCCAAAACAACAGTTAACTCAGTGATTGATGCACTTGGGCACCTCATTCAAGAGAGCATCGCCAGTGACGTCCAGAAAGCTGGAATGTTTTCTGTTCAGCTAGACACAACTCAGGACATAACCAGTTATGATCAGTGTTCGGTAATCCTTAGGTATGTTACTGAGGCTGTGCAGGAGAGGCTTGTTGCCATAGTGAGGTGCGAAGCATCCACAGGGCAGTACTTTGTGGACTTGCTCTCAGGAGTTTTAGAGCATCTGAATCTGGACAAGGCCATGTGCATTGGGAATGCAACAGATGGGGCATCAAATATGCAGGGCCAGTACAAAGGCTTTTCAGCACTGATGACCTCTCAGTCTCCAACTCATGTGCATGTGTGGTGCTATGCACATGTACTTAATCTTGTGCTTGCTAACACAACACAAACTGTCACTGAAAGTGGATCACTCTTCAATCTACTTAATGACATAGCTGTGTTCATCAAGGAGTCCTATCAGAGGGTCAATCTTTGGGAGAAACAAACCCAGGAGACAAGACACAGACGCCTCAGTCCAATTGGTGAGACACGGTGGTGGGCCAAGCATGATGCTCTCCGAAAAATCTTTGGACATTTTGGAAAACCAGAGAATGGCCTCTTCATTGATGCAGTGCTCACACTGGAAGCAATCGAAAAGCGGGAAAAAGAAAAGCCAGCTGTTCGTGCCAAAGCAGGAGGCTTTAAAGAGTGTCTCTTGAAACATGAAACTGTGTTAACAGCACAGATTTTCCTTAGAGTGTTTGAGCAAACAACTCCGCTGTCCAAGTACCTCCAGTCAAAGGGGATGGACAACCTCTCTGCCCATCGTATGGTGACTGCCACACAAGAGAGCCTCAAAAGCATCGCCAGGGACTTCACAACTGTGAAGGCAGCTGCAGACTCATTTGTGAAATGGACAAATGAGAAACTGGAGGAGAGGGAGGACAACACAGACATGGAAGTGGAGGCTGCACTACCTGAGAAGAGAGCCAAGAAGAGAAAAAGCAGGGCTGGAGAGATGGCTCAAGATGAGGTACATATCAATGCTGAGAAAGCATATGAGGTGAAAGTGCACAACACCATCCTGGACACAGCTATTGAGGCAACCCACAGACGATTTGTCACACATGGCAATCTCCTTGCTGATTTGGCATGGCTGGACCCCAGGAAGTTTGAGCAGGTCAGAACTATTTCTCTTCCTAGTAATGCACTTCAAAACCTCAGCACATGTCTCCTCAAATTTGACAGCAGGGCTACAGTAAATAACCTTCAGTCAGAACTGAAAAGTTTTGCTGGACAGTGGGACAGGCTTAAGGCATCACATGTGGATGAGTACAAGACCAGAACAGCAGAGGATGGATCTGCAGAATGGGAAGAAGAAAGTGAAATTGTGACCAAAAGCTGTGATTCTTGCAAAAATTGCCCATTGTGCTGCCATCAAATACTCAGGCGGTTCAACATGCTATCAGATGCCTATCGTCTCCTTGGGCTTGCATACAAGTACCTGCTGACCCTCTCCCTGACTCAGGTGGCCTGTGAAAGAACATTTTCAACACTCAAATTCATTAAAAACAGACTCCGAAGCAGCCTGTCCGCAAACAAGCTGGAGATGTTTATGCTGATGGCCACTGAGAAGGACATTCTCATGTCATTGGACTCCGACATGGTCATTGACAGGGTAGCTGAGAAGAGTGAGCTGTTGAGAAAGCTGCTTTTGTAGCCTGATGAGGTAAAATAAAATGATCAAAACACTCATTATAATGTATCAGGTAAGATTAGATTAAACTTTATTGTCATTGCACAAAGTACAGTGCAAAGAAAAAGTTTTGCATTTAACTTGAGTGCAAACAAGTGAAGTGCTCAGAAAATGCTTATATTAGAATTAATTAGAATTAGTGCATCTTAATAGGTCTTAATGTATAAGAAACTTGATGGAGGTATTGTATGTACAAACAGCTGTTTTCTTCCAGCCTTAACCTCTCACTGTCTCTTATAGGATGCTGTCACTTGTTTTTGGAAGCCTGCTGTGGTTTCCTCTAAGTAAGTACTGTAGAGAATACATGATGCAACTATTTTTTTTTAGAGTAAAGATACCAGCACTGTGATCATCTAAGCAAGTCCATCAAGTGTCATTCTTTCTCACCTTTCTCTGTCTGTCTCCTTTCACTTTTTAAAGATTACCATGTTTGAGGGAATAGTGTGTGTTGCTGTGCTGAGTATTGCTGCTGTGGAGGTCTTAGGTGACTGTTTATTGATTTGGTGAGTACATAGTTTTATGAAACTATCACTAAATCACATTTTAATATTCATCTCACCTCTATTCCTCTCTGTCCTATTTTTCAGGATCCCATCATACATTCATTGTTCAGGAGGTTCACTAGACCAAGCAGCCTTTTGGGTTCCTCTAAGTAAGTACTGTATAGAATAATGGGACTGGGAGGATGGTGTAGGTTTTGTAAGTTTATTAGACAACTACATATACACCAACAAGACAGTGTACAAGCGGTGTCACAAGAAAGTTTGTTTTCATTCATGGGCTTCATTGTCTGTCCATCAATACCTGGTGGGCCGGTCTAGACTCAAAATGCCCGGGCTGATTTTCTGTCCCAGTCCAGCCCTGCCCCTCACCATGGACTTCTCATCACTACTTGACAGCTTTGGTTTCCAACAGTTTGCAGACTTCTCCACACACATAAAAGGTCACACAATTGATTTAATTTGCTGCTCAGGTCTCACCCCCTCCAACTGTACTGCTGACAATCTTCACATTACGGACCATTTCCTCCTCTCTTTTAACGTCACCCTCCAGCTCTCCATCTCCAAACCTCTCTGTATCATCTCATACCGCAATATGAAGGACATTAACATGGACTCCCTCTCCTCCTGCATCACCACCCTGACTACGGACCCCGCTTCCACCCCCGATGATCTCGTCACACAGTACAATAATGGACTCTCCAACATACTCAATTGACTTGCTCCTGTCAAATCCCGCTCTGTCTCCTTTACCCGGTCTGCCCCCTGGTTCACCCCATATCTCCGTTCCATGAAATCCCAAAATCGACAGCTTGAAAGACTCTTCAGAAAAACCAGTCTCAATATCCACAAAGACATCTACTTAGCTCAGTTAACTCTCTACAAGGACTCCATTTCTCATGCCAAATCTCAATACTACTCTGGACTCTTTTGCTCAAATGCTGGAAACACCAAGACTCTCTTCTCCGTTTATAACAGAATCATTCAACCCCCTGACTCCCTACCCCCCCACATGTACTCCTCAGACACCTGTGAGTCCCTCCTCCGGTTTTTCAATGACAAAATCAATAAAATTCACCAGCACTTGGGCTCCACTTTCTTACCACTCCCCTCCTCTGAACTCCTCCCTCCTTATCAACCATTCTCCACCTTCAAACTCCCTCATCCCTCAGTTATCTCTGACCTCATCAGAAAGTCCAAACCTTCATCCTGCCAGCTAGATCCCCTCCCTACTCCTACCTGGTCGGTACCAAATCCACTTTATCCAAAACTGACAGTTTCTCCTTCACTATTGACAGTTCCACAGTGTCCCCCTCCCCTCAGGTTAAGAGTCTGGGTGTCATCCTCGACAGCTCACTGTCTTTCCACTCACACATCAATAACATCACCCGGTCTGCATATTTCCACCTACGAAACATTAACCGTCTCCGCCCCTCCCTCACCTCTCACACCACGGCTATCCTGGTCCACAGCCTCGTCACCTCCCGCATTGATTATTGTAACTCACTCCTCCTTGGTGCCCCTCACAAATCCCTCCATAAGCTTCAACTGGTCCAAAACTCTGCAGCCCGTATTATTACCAGAACCCCCTCCTTTCACCACATCACCCCTGTCCTCCAGCAGCTTCACTGGCTTCCAGTCAAATTCAGAATCCATTACAAAATCCTTCTGTATACTTTCAAGGCTATTCACAACAAAAGGCCATTCACAACAAAAAGATGCATTTGTGAGTGAGATAGAACAAATAGACTGGTCTGTAGTATGCAAGGAGGACAATCCAGAAATAGCACTCATTATATTCATAAACCTGTTTATAGATATTGCTAATAAGCATGATCCATTTAAAAAGATTTCAGTTAGGTCAAAAAGTGCTTTGTGGCTAGATAAAGAACTCAGGGACTTAATGGCTTCAAGGGATAATGCAAAGAAAAAAGCTAACAAACTTGGTTCAGAGTCAGAAAGACAAGTTTACTGCAAATTAAGGAATCTAGTGACTAAGCTAAATAAAAGAAAAAAGAGAGAGTACTATAAACAAAAGATCAATTAAGTAAAAAATTATGGGAAAAAATAATGGTCCACACTGAATGAAATAATGGGGAGGAAAATAAATTCACCTATCTCATTCATACAATCATTTATAACTAAGCCTCATGACATTGCAAACCATTTTAATGATTTTTTCAAAAGTAAAGTTGACAAGTTAAGAAAGGGTAAGCAATGCAGTGATGGCTCACTATCATATACATTAATAAAGAATAGAATTATTAAGGACAAAAACCGCCTCTTTAAATTCAGTCAGATTGACAGAAAAACTGTTTCAGACTCCAGTTCCCCTGGTACAGATAACTTAGAAAGTAAAATGCTCAAACTTGTAGTCAACTTTGTTACCACTTCTATATGCCACATTTTCAATCAATGCCTAAGCTATGGGGTTCATCCAACTATGTGGAAAGAAGCCAAAATTATTCCTCTTCCAAAAGACAAAAACAAAATGTTTAACGGTCCCAACAGTCGGCCAATTAGTATTTTACCATTATTAAGTAAAGTTATTGAAAGTTATACTTTCTAGCTGTCAACATGCTTACAGAGAAAACCATTCAACAGGCACCGCACTTGCACATATGACTGATGACTGGCTAATAGGCATGGAAGAAAAGAAATTAGCGGGAGCAGTTATATTGGATTTCAGTGCGGCATTTGATGTCATCGATCACAGCTTGCTAATTGGCAAGTTACAATGCTATGGCCTCTCTCCCACTGCAACCTCATGGTTTAGGCATTAGTAGTAGTAATAGTAATAGTTATAGTAGTAATAGTTTAAGAAAGAAGCAGAGAGTCTACTTTAACGGCAGCTATTCAAACTGGAACGTTATACACTGTGGGGTCCTATAAGGGAGCTGCCTCGTGCCTTTATTATACTCCATTTTCACTAATGATCTACCTCTGTATGTTAAAAATGTCAACACTGTTATGTATGTGGATGACACTACCTTGTACAGTGCCGCTATATCTGAGCAAGCTGTAACCTGTTCCCTAAGTAATGCTCTAACAGAAGTGAATAAGTGGGTTGAATGCAATAAGCTGGATTTAAATATCTCCAAGACAAAATCCATTGTGTTTGGAACCTGACATATGTTGGCCAAAAACCCTCAACTAAAATTAGCAATAAACAACATAAATATTGAACAAGTCAACACAATAAAACTTTTAGGTGTAACCATTTGTCTTTTATTATGATGTTTTTACATGTAGCACTGAGATTTGTTTTCAAATGTAAAGTGCGTTACAAATAAAATGCATCATCATTATTATTATTATTATTATTATTATTGACAGCTCACTATCCTGGTCAAATCATATAAATAATATTGACACTAAAATGGGTAAAGGAATCAGTATGACCAGAAAGTGTTTTACATTCATTACTCCCTGAATAATCAAATCAGTTATTCATTCTGTGGTTCTATCTCATCTAGAATACTGTTCTGTAATTTGGTCCTAAGCTTCAAAATCTCAGCTGAGAAGAGTGCAGGTTGCTCAGAAAAAGGCGGCTCGTCTAGTTCTTGGTTGTTCATACAAAACAAGCACAGACTATATGCACACACAACTGGTGTGGCTGACAGTAGAACAGAAAATATCTTTACATCTTTTAATGCTACTGCGGAGCATTATTAGCACCAAATATCCATCAGGCTTGGCTCATCAGATACATGTGACCTCCGTGCATGGTTACAGTAGTAGAAGTGCTGCCTTCGGTCATATATTGCTCCCAGTTCCAAAAACTTACTCTCGTAAGCTTACCGTTATATATAGATCAATAGTCCTCTGGAATTGTTTGCCTAAAGAAATCATATCTACTGCCAATAACAAAATAATTTTCAAAAACCTTACTAAGAAATATCTAGCCAATTAACAAAAGTGTATATCCATCTATACATATAATCTGTCTGATTATGTTTTGTCATTTTGTCATAGTTTTGTCATATTGTCCTCTCATCACTGGATTCATACATCTGTACTATGTTAGCCTGGTCACTGTAGTATTATTTTCTATTTAAGAGTTTTTTTCTGTTTTTCGGTTCTATTGTACTATTATCTATATTATTTTATGGTGTATCACGTTAGCTCATTTGTAATATACTCTATGTTGATTATAATTATCACTGTATGTCTGTATTATTGGTCTTGTACATTGTATCATTTGTACATTATACTGTACAATCAGTCTGTCTGATTGTTTTTTAAGTTGTCTGTATATTCTTCATTGTATGTCTGTTCAGGACCCCAGGAAGACTAGAGGCATATTTGTGTGCTTCTAATGGGGATCCTTAAATAAATTAAACTAAGCTAAATAAACTAAACTGATCAGAATCAGTTCAATCAACTCTGAGTATGTTCAGCTACTCAAATTTGAGACTGGAAAATATTTGAGGAAATATGGCAGCATTTTAGTTAAATCTAGGAGAGCCTTAGAAGAGAAAGTTGTCTCCAAAATTACAGCCCTTGCTAATGTCCCTCCAGAAAATCTATCTGAAGAAGAGAGGTTAAAGTTGGCCGAATTACAAGGTAAATTAGATGACATGTACAAAATAAAAGTAGAGGGTGCCTTCATAAGGTCCAGACAAAAGTGGTTGAAGCATGGTGAGCAGATGTCTGCCTATTTTTTTAATTTGGAAAAGTCACAAGCAAAGAACAATTCTATCCTCCAGCTGAATATTGAGGGAACTGTTACTGATAACAGGAAGGACATTTCTAAGTTCTGTTATAATTACTATTCTTCATTATACAAATCTAAGTTCAATGTAGATAATACGTCTGCATTTTCTAGGCATTTGGATGGATTGAATACAATTAGCCCTGAAGATAAGTTGATGTGTGACTCCCCAATCACTTTACAAGAAGTTGTAGATTCCATAAAACATTTAAAAGTTAACAATTCACCTGGTAACGATGGACTCAGCGCTGAATTTTATAAGTCATTTTTGGAGTTGCTTGCACCATTCCTAAAGTTTTTTCAGAGAGTATTGCTAATTCTACAATTCCTAACAGCATGACACAAGGGGCTCTAGTTTCGCAGACTTGGCGAGGCAGGGGCGCAGCGCACCTGCGCTTCGCCAACTGGGT